GACTTAGTCAACTTTGTAACACCCATGGTGTTCCCGGTCATAAAGAAAAGCAATTAGTAACCATCCAGATCAGATAAAACACACATACACACACACACACACACACACACACACACACACACACACACACACACACACACACACACATACTCTAGATGTGTTCCCCCCCTTATGTGCCCAATCCCCCCCATGTGAATCACACTTGGCACACACACACACACACGCATACCATGTATACATCACTTCAGGGGACATTACATTGACTTACATGCATTTCCTGGAGACTTATCCTAACCTTAACCATAACCAACACATGCCTAACCCTAACCCTTACCCTAACCCTAATCCTAAACCTAAACCTAAACCTAAACCTAACCAAGTCTTCACCCTAAAATTAATGATTCCCCTCATGGGGACCTCCAATTTGTCCCCATAAGGGAGGCGAGTCCCCACACGTGACTGTGTAAACAGATTTAGGTCCCCATAAGTATAGTAATGCTAGGCCACACACACACACACACACACACACACACACACACACACACACACACACACACACACACACACACACACACACACACACACACACACACACACACACACACTCACACACACACAAACACACCCCCCCCACACACACACACATACTCTAGATGTGTCCCCCCCCTTATGTGCCCAATCCCCCCATGTGAATCGTCTGGCACACACAAACACACACACACACACAGAACAATTTCCACATTTCCCGCTCTTATGTGCCCATCCTCCCACATGGATCACACCTGGCACACGCAATACATGTTCAGTGTCTATTCTTTGTATATTTACTGCAGTTTTTCATGTATACCAGTAGTCTGATACAATATTTACAGTTTGAAAGGGTGTTAAATGAAATTTGGTGTTGATTAATGGTTTTTGTGTTAATGTAACAGCAGTTAAAACAGGACCGGTCAAATTTGACCGCGAACACCAAAGTAATAGGAGGGTTAATCCCTATTTAAACGGACTATATCATATTACCTTGAACACAGTTGAACAGCCATGGGTTGATTGCCATGCTCCAAAACTGCAGCTCAGTTTGGATTAAAAAAAAAATAGAACTCTGTGTGAAAAAATGTCTGTCACTGACTTTGTGCACACGGCTTTAATATAATATAATTAGGGCTGTCAATTTAACGCGTTAATAACGCAAACATTTTTTAACGCCACTAATTATTTTAACGCGATTAACGCATGTGTATTTTTTTTCCTCGGCCGCCCCGTAGTTTCAGAGCGCATCGAGTTTAAAATACCATCTACAAGCTGATGCTGACAGCCCCGCTCCTGCTGCCCGCTTGTGGCAGACCACACTTCCACGCTCACCGGCAGGCACCGACTGGCTATTGGGAGGACCGGGAGGGTGTGTGTATGTGTGGCCCGAGCGAGCGAGAGAGAGACCTTACGTGCATTGTTACTAGCTGCGCTAACGGATACAAGGAGCTGTTTAAATGAAAACATTTTGCCACAACTGCGCCAGGTTTGATAAATGCCTGAACTGCCAAGAGCCGAGCAGTGACGGCAGCAAAATCAGTTGGACGAGATTGAATGGTAAAGTTGTCCATAAAAAACTATTATATTCGTAAAGTGTACAGCTAATATATATATATATATATATATATATATATACATATATATATATATATGATTCTGTTTTCTTCAAGGTTGTGTCTTCCTGGTCGAATGTACTTATTGTAAGTCGCTTTGGATACAAGCGTCAGCTAAATGCAATGTAATATACATTAATTTGATATAAAACAATATATTTTTCAGTGGTCTGTGTCCGTCGAAAACTGCTAGCTACTGTCTGCTGTACGCACCTAGATTTTGCTGCCGTCACTGCTCGGCTCTTGGTAGTTCAGGCATTTATCAAACCTGGCAACCCCGGGTTTCCTGGCAGCTGTCAATCAAAGTCCAGTGGCTCCGCCCCAAAGTGCCAGAAACCTTTCACGCGCGCGTAGACAGACTCCGCGAGGCTGACACTCCCGCGAGCAAGCAAGAGGGCTATCTCTCTCGCGAGCGAGCGCAGAGCCGCTCGCGGGGGTTTAATCTGCGCACGAGGGTCATTTTATGCGCGTGTAAAAGCACATTTTCCGCTCGTGAGTAGCTTGTTTTACGCGCGAGAATATTGACCCAAATCTGACTCCATACGTTGTACGAAAAGTCAGCACACTCAGCACGGATAGTGTGCGCAACATAATTGCAGCGTCCAGGCAGCTCCCGTTCGAGCATATGCCTTGAGTTGCACATAGCTCCAACGATCCAACACACACACACACACACACACACACACACACACACACACACACACACACACACACACACACACACACACACACACACACACACACACACACACACACACACACACACACACACACAAACACACACACACACACACACACATACATACATACACACGCGCACACACACACACACACACACACACACCATTTGTATTGTATTATTGTATGAGAGAGGTTCCAGGTTGAATTGAGGCGAATATTTGTAATGTTCAGAGGTTGTTGTGTTTAATATTCATGAGAATATTTGTCATTGTTCAAATGATAATAAACATTAGCATAAAGCATATTTGTCCACTCATATGTTGATAAGAGTATTACAAAATATTCCTCTAAGGTACATTTAGAACAGATCAAAAATGTGCGATTAATCGCGATTAACTATGGACAATCATGCGATTAATCGCGATTAAATATTTGTAATCGACTGACAGCCCTAAATATAATGTAATGTTCTATTCTCTTTATGAAAGTTCAGTATGACAAAAGCTCAGCACAGTTATGTCTGTGCTAAATAACAACTGGGAAAAAATAATAAGAACAGGTTGTTGCATAATGTATGAGTTTTAAGTTCCATCTGCCTTCTAGCCCGTGAACAAAGCTGCTCATGCTCACTGAATGTGTGTTCCCCGAGCAGACAATTGCACAAGATGACAAGGCTACAAACACAGCCACAGCTAAGACAACCATCTGGGAGGAAAACACAGTTGCACAATAGTTTGTGCTTACTCATTGTATAATCACAGAACAATTGTGTTTTAATATCTGCATGTTTCGATGATTATTTGTCATTTATGTTACAATGCCTGGTGAAAAAAAATACAACACAATTAAAGGAGTGCTCAGAGGAACGGATGAGTTAGGATAAGATAAACACTTTAGAAAAGAAGAAAGATCTAAAGCACTTTTCTGACAGTAAAAAACATACATTTAAACAGCTATTTCATAGTACAATGTTAAAAACATAGACTGTTTATACACGTTTAAATAGAGCTGAGCTTACAACCCATGTGTAGCTACACTAACAGCCTTCCCTGTTTCCCCTTTTGTTGACACAAGGGGATAGCAAACACATGTTAATAGCAACCATCTGAACAAAAAAGCAATAAACTCACCAGTGGCAAATGCAAAGTGTGACCACTAGATGGCTCCTCCAACATGCGTAGAAGGAATAACAAGATAGCAAGAAAAAATTATCAAATAGGACAACATGAATATATAGATAACAAGACAGTGAAATTATAAATATATTATAACATTACATCCTCATTTTCAGCAGCCAGGCCATGTGAAAAAGAGCAACTACATGAAAAGAACTGACGTCTTTTTTTTCATTTAGTCCTGGATAATCTGTGGCCTACATTCGGGGTATATATTAGGTTTCTCTCCGCAGTATTACATTTAGCTAATCATCCCCTAACCTTGAATTTATCTGACAGCCTGTTCTAACCAGGGCATGTGTAGAGCAGCTCACAGGGTATAGACTGTGAAAGTGCTAATACATTATTTAAATGATGCATTTTGGTTGACTAGCCTCGTTAAATACTGGACATCTTCCAAGTATTTTATCATATGCAAATGTTAGCAAAAATTTGACTCATAACATAATCTTCATAGTTAGTAGTTACTTATCAGCATGATGAGAACTCAGCCTTAAATTCAGTAAAAGCACAGACAGGGGAATTTGCATACTTTCGTTTAACAGCATCTTTCTCACTTAGTTTAGGTGTTACTTTTGTTGGACAAGTTGCAAATAAAGACATGAAATTAAAACGGCGTTGGCAGTTTTTATTCTGTATGGTCAGCTCAAAGTGGTCAAAGTTGCTAGTAACATGTGTATTGTCTTTAGAATTATGCAAAAGTCTGATTTTACATTCGGTATGAGACTAACAATATTTACTTTTAATGATCTTTCCTTTGATCTCTGAATTCTTATCACACAGTATGCTTTTAAATCCAAATGCTATTTCCGTCTTACCTTATATGCACCCACACAGCTCATAAACAGAAAATTTCCCTCATTAGTCCACCTAGAAAAGTGGTTCTCTCTGCCAAGTAGACCACTTTAATAAGGTTACCGCAAACCAACTTGACCAAAGTCATTAAAATGATCTAGTTCTCTTTACTTTAAAAAGAATAAGATAGTTATTCAGAGCTTCAGCAAAGATTTCAAGACAGGAAGACTGATAGAAATAGGAGTAAAGGGGAAATCAAACACATGCTTCAATACAGATATTTGCAGCAAAATTAAACACTCAGTATAATTTGTGAAATCATAACCAACTCTTCTTGAAGATTCTTGGCATGGCAGTTAGTTTGTTGGTAGGTTGTGATATTTGGTATCAGTAACAAGGGGCACCAGGCCATAGGTCATTAAAGGTGGGGTATGTAATTTATTTCAGAAACACTTTTTGTTATATTCCATGGAATGCTCTTAACATCCCGATAGCAATGAATATATTAAATGCTTTAACAATAAATACATAAAATAATTTCATCTGTGGAAGCCATGGCGCTGTAAAAAGCACGACCAATCATTTTAGCCGGCCCGGCTAAAATAACTGGATGGCCTACCTGCCTGTCAGCCTTCCATCTGTGCACAAACTTATTGCGTGCCCTCATTGGTCATGTGCACGTTTGTGTGTGTTGGAGGAGGGGCTCTGTAAGGAAGTCTGAAGGAAGAGGCAGATTTTTTCCGGTTGTGTACTTTCAAATTCTAGCGCACTCGGGCTGGCTTCTCCAAAATTAAATACCCCACCTGAAGAAACACACTCCTCAATGTCAGTTTCGGTAGTTTATTGACAAGGATGATGACACCCTGAAACAGAACAATGCAGCAAGATAAGCTGACAAAGTACTACATCCATGCATGTCATCACCAACACAACACAAATATATACAACGACAGGGCTGGTCTGGCGTGTCAGCCGTGTCAGGGCTACGCCTGTCCTTGGGCCCCCCTGCAACGTCGTCCGACGGGAAGTTCACGGGCAAGAGGCCGAGGTTGAGCAACGACTCGTAGGAGAGGTACATGGCCCGGATTTAGGTGCTCACGTATACCATGGAACGGCAGGATGTAACACACCCCCCGCTGCAGGTCGTCGATAGCCTAGCGAAGAACGCTCCCTCGATGGCTATAGGAGAGCGGTTGGCGGCCAACAGGCTGAGGCTGACGGGTCGCAGGTTGTCCCGCGCCAAACCGCAGGCCAGGAACTCCTGCAGAGACCAAAGGTCCGACTGCGCGCCAGTGTTCGCGACGGCGGATATCCGAGCTCCGTCGGCCGAGCCCCGGTTGCTGGTGCCATCCCTCAGCCCCGACTGGCATGTCCATCGAGATGGTGATTAATGCTCGGGGGTGGTCTCTCAGCCTGGCTCGTCTCCATTCGCCCTTGGAGAAGATGTGGTGCTCGAGTCTGATAGGTGCAGGCTCCCGTGACGTCGGCCAGGGCGGTTTCCAGCTCGCACCGACAAGACCTGGGAGACCAGCTCCGACCCCATGGCGGCCTGTTGACTGTCGGATGACGGCTGTTGACGCCTCTGTCGTCGGCGGGCCCTGTAGCAGCCGATGCACACCTGGTGAGGCTTAGGATTCCACCCGCGAGGCCCCTCCGTGAAGACGTTAAAGACGCTCTTACATTCCGGGCACGAGGCACGTTTAGCCCCGTCAACAGGGCTCGGGGCGGGGCTTGTCTGTTGAGTCGTCTTCAGGCGCCGGATTGACGACATGGCTGATAGGGAGGACGACGGGAGAGCGTTACGGGCCATCTCTTTGTTCTCGACGAGTGCAATTACGTCGTTAACTGGCTTGACCAGGACGTCAGGTGTCCCCAGCGTCTCGCGGCGTATGTCCGAGTCATAAATGCCATTGAGCAGAACATCACGGATAATGTGGTGGGTATAGTCCACGTCCTTACCACACTCGCATACCGCATTATATGCGCATGTCTCTGCTTTACCCCGCACTCTGGCAGCGAATGCGCGGAATGTCTCGTCACGTTCCTGGCGTAACTGAAGTAGCTCGGTGCGCAGGACGCATGTAGTGACTGGGATGACAGCTAGGGAACGCATGACGGTGATTAGGTCTGGCAAGGGTCCGGAAGCGGCGTCGGGGACGGCTTTCAACAGGCTGTCTCCAAGTACAGGCCCAACGCACTGAAACATTACATTACATTACATTGCATTTAGCTGACGAGTACAGCTGGAAGGGGGCCTGGGCATTCCCTATGCCTGAGCCGGCGTGGAATACGTTCCAACGGCGGATTAACACGTTCCATACCTCTATCGACATGCCCACATCAACTTTGGGCCGATCGAGTCTCGGGCCGTGAGGGGCTGGGGCCTGGGCTGGCGCGGCCATGACAGGCGCTGCGTGCTGGTGGCTAAATCCATGAATCGTCAATAGAGCAATGACGAGTGCTTCAGACAAGTCATCGGATTCAAACTCACAGCCGGGGGCAGGGCATCCAACAACGACCATGGTGTCGTCATGAAGAAACACACTCCTTAATGTCAGTTTCGATAGTTTATTGACAAGGATGACGACACCCTGAAACAGAGCAATGCAGCAAGATAAGCTGACAAAGTACTACATCCATGCATGTCATCACCAACACAACACATATATATACAACGACACAAAGTATAGACACACCAAACAATGGTGGAAACAATCCTACATGAATGAGTGGATGAACGTCTCAACTCGAGGTGGAGTGAAGGAACAATGTTCGAACTAAAATGGCCTCTCGGCACTACCGGGTCAGAGCACGGCATATCCGGTCAGCGACAGCAGTGAGACGCTGCCCTCTAGTGGCCGGCGATAAACTCTTCACCACCTTTAAGGGATTCCACTGAGCTGTCTGTCCTCATACATCAGAGTAGGTAACCTGTTGGCTGTTCTTATTTGAATTGTGGTGGTTTCCAAGATGTTTTGTCCAACGTAGGCCTACACCCACTGCTCCTTACATAAATGTTAGAACGTCTTATCGACACCACCCCGTTATGTTCAAATGTCTTCTATGGAAATTACATTTCACAATTGAACTATCAATTTACAGACATGTGGTCAAGCTTCCATTGGTGACCTGCTACTAGGCTACTACTTAGTCCCACATCTCAGCAAATGGGCTAGCAATGTTAACTGATCCCATTTTATTTTGGGAGGTTAAATACCTGAAATAAGGTCTCTGGATAACAGAAACTTTTTAGGAGATTTCAACATTTTGTTACATTACAAATAATACAATGCATTGCTTTTAGCTTCTTCAACCATTTATCAATTAAGCTTAGAAGTATATTTCAAATGTGTTTCTATACAGTACATGTTAACTGTCTAGCTTAGAATATCAACTGTTGGTCCTTTACCTTTAGCCAACTATTTGAACTGTTTTTCTAACACTGTAAGCTAATCATTTTAGCGTTAATCCCACACTTTTACCTAACTTTTTGAACTGTTCATCTTATATTTTAAGCTAATTATCTGTTATAGTTAGATAACTATTTCTACTGTTAACTCAACAACGTTAGATAACCTTTTCACCTGCTTATCCAGTACCATTTGCTAATAATCCTTTAAATTTAGCCTATTTTGTATTTGTTAATTCATTAGCCTATAGCCACTATTTAAACTGATCCTAAATGTAACCATTTATTAGTTTGTTTGAGCCAACCCGTCTCAACTTCTTTGTGCGCTTGCTTAACACCTAGTTTGTCCATAACATCTGACTGATTTTTATATTAAATCATAACTTTTATTTTCCACAAGTATCCCCCAGATATCTGACTGATGTGACACCAACATTGCTTTGAATTTGTTCCTTTGCCCACCTTGTGTATGAAACATATTTTTGTACAGTTCACACGAACATGCAGATTTGAACATGATGTTCCTGTCACTGTACTGTAGTAGTTGTTCCTGTTGCTATGGAGAGGTAATCAGCCTTTTTTATTTGTATGAGATACGGAGAAGGGCACTGCTGGATTCTTTCCACTCCTCGATGTAGCTGTAGTAGCATAGAGGTTAACATGTACGGCTGTATTTAGAGCAGTTGTTGACAGCTTATTGGCCTGTAAAAACATAAGACTGACTGTAAAATTATCCTCACTTGACGTACACGTGCCACATGACGGATATTTTATTAATCAACAAAAACAGAAGGGTATCCCCAGAGAAATTGAGTATGTCATTGGTATGCTCTAGTCAAAACTACTTGAAATAGTGTGTGTATATAACTCTCAAATGTTTGGGTGGAAAAGGGCACTAAATTTAAGAAGTATAAATGAAACAGTTAACTAAAAGTTTAAACCAAATACAGTTTATTGCTGATCCTTCTCATGTTAAATTTGATTATTCCCTTTAAGTACATGCCATTGGTCAGTGGTGGAAGGATTCTGAAACTATACTTATGTGAAAATATAAAAAAGACAAGAAAACAACCACAACCACTGCATCCCAAATTTCCCTAGATGTATTACCTGTTAAAATACTGAAACTCACATTAAAATATTCTTTTAACAGGATACCCCCTTTGAGACTTGCTTGTAAATATGAATAAAATCATGAATTATCAATTAATAAAGCATGTGTTTTCATGTATATATGTATGTTTGTTTGAAACGTTGTTTTCATTGCAAGGTGTCTTTGAGTACTTATAAAAGCACAAAAAAGAAATATTCACTTCATTTATTTTACCTTAAGAATCTTGCAAGGAATCAAATTGTTTATACTGACAGGCAAATATAAATGATATCCTTAGATTGCACACAATTAGTGCTATATTGTCAGATGTTAAGACTCAACTAAATGAACGTCCCACTGTAATGAAAGCAGAAAAAAGCAATCGTCCTGGATCAATTTGACCTGAACAGAAGTGTCCAAAAAGTGAACATAATTCAAAGGCTAAGTTAACTTATATGATATGCACATGCCGGTGTGTTATCCATATTACATGTTCTGCTCAAATTTGATTACAAAAATTCCAACATATCACTTTGCTTACAATATAAGACATTTTAATAACCCCTGTATACCTTCTTTATCACCAGATTCACAGCCTTACTCCACACTTTGCTCTCCCTTTCTTCTAACACAGCTGCGAGAGAAGACCACAGGGACTCCACTGACTGATACAATCAATCCCCTCTTTAGAGCTAATTAACAGTCTAGTCTCACACTCAGTATGCAGTATTGAATAACACAGGAGAAGCATGTTGTATTTAAGTTGTCTTTTTATTATCTGGACTTATTCACACTATGTACAATCATTTCAGTCGTGTAGCCTATAATAAAATATAATAACCTTTAAATTATAGTATAATTAGGATTCATTTAATACAAAATAACATATTTTCAAAACACATTTCTTTCCTCACATGGCACAGTGTGATGAACAATCTGAGACTAGCCTTGCGTTATTGGAACACAGACTGGTAGAGAGCCCATGCATTGCCTTCTGGGGTTTAATAACACCAGCCTCTATGGAACTCAGCTAAAAGCATTACAACTCCAAACAAAAAGCAAGTCTGCGGTAAAAGCTATATTAAATAGAACTTGGGCCCTATAGTGCTGTACTTTCTCATATGTAAAACATGTTAATTATTGCACAGAAGAGAGTTGGTCTGGTCCAGAAAACTGATGGTAAGATAACCGTGTATCTTATCAGTTAACGCAAAACTGTCACTTAACCTTTACAGGTCAAAAGCTCCAAACAAATACACGTGCATAAGCAGAATAAACACTTTCAGAGTCATACATTTTGTCAAATCTACAGACTCTCTCTATTACGATAAATGTACCACGGTGCGGCATAAGTATTATTTTAAATACTTAAGTTATTTAAATAAAATGAACCTTTGGGTGAAATAGCTACTTTAAGGCATGGGTGACATTTCCTACAGGATATAGATCTCTTACATTGTTCAACAACAGGTCCGCCCTGTTTAACTTCCTTATCTTGCTCCTCGAACACCTGCTGTGATAAACATGCAGCACTTGTTTTGTCCTAAACTGGAATATTTGAAGCCTCCTTTACGTCGCTCCACTTTTATTCCAACAGTTTTTAGTCACAAGTGCTTCTTATGTCTCTACCTGCACCTGATCTATGATGCATTGGTTTATATTTTCCTATGAACCCAAAAAAATGACATCATTTCAGGATGTCATGCTACTTCAAAAACCAAAGATAAAAGGGTAGTCTGCCGCCTTTAGTCTGGCGAGGACCCTCTTAGCAGGAAAATGTTGCCATGGGAATATGAAGAAGGCTTCATGGTACTACATGTGAGCTTGAGGGACATTTTCACTTGGGAACTTTAAATCTGCTCAGATCTAGAGGCTCTTTACTGGGTATGCACCAGTCGTCCGCCTCCTGGCTCACTTTGTAGTTCTTCAGAGCGGTTTTGTTGTACACCGGCAGCCTCTCGATGGAGTCAGTGGACAGCGCCTGGAGGGACAGGAAGACAACATGTAATTACAAATATCCTGTCATACCTGGCTCGACAGGTCTGCAGAGTTTGGCGCTTGTGCCACAGGGCAGTTTTTGTCTCTGTGCTGCAGACTTTCACACTGTTGACGTCCTGTCGCAGTTTCATGCATGATCACCGCGTCTGGCTCACCTTCAAGTAGATGACAGCCTCCGTGCCGTGGCCCTCCATGGAGTAGAGCTGCAGGTCCCCCTGGAAGTACTTGGCGTAGAGACGAGAGATGGGCAGACCGTAGCCAAAGCCAGCCTGCACACAGACAGAGAGAGAGAGAGGAGGGGGATGAAGGGTTTGAGAAGGATTTGTTCCCTGTCACAGTGCAAGCAGCAGCATCCTTCTATCACTGCAGAACAAACGGGTCTTTTGTCAAGTTTGCTTTAGAAGTCACTCGGTTTGGGAGAATCAAAATGATGCCAGGATTTCAATCTTTAAATAGGGAAGAGAGTTTAAAGAAAAGGCCAAATGAGCATTTCAATGTGTGTAGGCTTTTTGGTGCATAAGCAGCAACTTTACACCTGTAAAAGTATTTAGAAAGGAATAAATGCCTCAAGTTGCAGTTCATTATATGCCTGTACAAAATGATATTACATCATTTCCTCCTACTATTATCTTGAGTATAATTGTCATAATATATGATTTGCAAGGTCAAATTGACTTTGTCCTTCATCCACCAAATTCATCCAGTTCATCATTGAGTCCAAGTGAATCTGATTTTTGCCAAATTTGAAGAAATTCCCACTAGACATTAAAGGTGATGTAGGTATTTTTGGAGAAACCAGCTCGAGTGCTAGAATTTGAAAATACACAACCGGAAAAAATCTGCCACTTCCTTACAGAGCCCCTCCTCCAACACACACGGACGCGCACATGACCAATGAGGGCACGAGATAAGTTTGTGCACAGGTGGAAGGCTGACAGGCAGGTAGGCCATCCAGTTACTTTAGCCGGGCCGGCTCAGATGATTGGTCGTGCTTTTTACAGCGCCATGGCTTCCACAGATGAAAACATTTTTATGGATTTTTTGTCAAAGATGTTAAGAGCATTCCATGGAATATAACAAAAAGTGTATCTCGAGCCGGTTTCTCAAACTTACCTACCCCACCTTTAATAAGAGAGAATGGGATGATTAAAGAACCCAACAACCATAAAAAAAAAAGAAGTGTTTTCCAATAAATGTAGGAGTGTAATTGAGTCAATATATCTCTATTATCTCCTTACCAGTGGGGGCCGTGTGCGCTCTCCTATCTGTG